TGCGATGCGGTACGACCGAAGGAGTTCTGTAGGGGGATTAGCTTGGCGCATACATAGGGAAGGCGTCACTCACCCGTATACTTGGGGTCCAGCTTGTCCAGCCTGCGCAATCGCAATTGAATCTCGCGCGGCAGCTCTGGTGGCTGTTCTGGCTTCACTTCGACTTCCGCAGTCGGCCCCTCTTCCTCCTCCTTCTTGCCATCGCCATTCTCCGCATTCACTTCGGCGGGTTGCGCCTTCTCCTTTGGTCGCGGTGTGCCGGCTCGACTCGGCGGGTCATCCTCTTCTCCTACGACAAATTCCGGGTCAAACTCTGAGGGGTCAGGGCCCTTCCCTGCCGGCGCGGCCTTGCTGCTGTCGCCATCTTTCGATCTCGCTGTGCGCTTCGAGGGCGAGAGGTTGCGTGAGTTGGATCTCCGTGTTGTAGAGCTGGATCGTGGAGTGCCCGACGGTGAGGTGGCTTTCTGGCGCGCTTGCTCTTCTGCTATTCTGGCGTCGATGGCCCCCCGAATGCGCTGTGTCTTGTCAGCATGCCTATGATGCAACGTGGATGGCGATGGGGTACCTGGAACATGATGCTGCTGAATTATGAAGAAGTATAGAAAAACATGCAAAGTAGACAAGTAATACACTTTCCTAATGGAATATCAAACACGGATCCATGGGGACAAACCACTATTCTGACACGTTCTGGGGTCCGTCGCGGCTAGGTGACATGGATCGGGGACGCTGGACAGGCGCTAAGATCAGCCTTCGGTAAAGCTAGTGCGGCGGGAATCCTCACTTTTTCTCTCGCTGGCCGTTCCCCCACCAGAACGACAACCATAATCCAGCACAATGGCAAACGTGGAGATTTCACTGCCGCTGCCAGTCCTGCCTGAGGGCTGGGCTGGCGAGAAGGACTTCAAGGCCATCGGCCAGCTGAGCGACGCCAACGACCGCAAGATCGAGCCTGTTGGCCCGCACTTCCTCGCCTACGCCCGCAGAGTATGTGCTTCGACGATGATTGGCATATGCAGTACTGACGAATCCTACAGAAGCGCAACAAGCGCACTTTCTCCGAGGATGACCGCATCCAGGCACAGGCCAACGTCAAGAGCGTCGAGGAGGAGGACCCCGACGATGTTGACGAGCCCGAGGACCCCGTCATGCTGCAGCGTGAAGCCAAGGACTGGAAGGTAGGGCGATTGCACAGGCTATTGTAGGCTCCTACTAACATCTCCCAGTCACAAGACCACTACGCTGTGCTCGGCATAACCCGCTACCGATGGAGGGCCACGGACGAACAGATCAAGCGCGCCCACCGCAGGAAGGTGCTCAAGCACCACCCCGACAAGAAGGCGGCCAAGGGCGGAACCGAGGACGACCAATTCTTCAAGTGCATCCAAAAGGCCCACGAGGTGCTCTCCGACCCCGTCAAGAGGAGGCAGTTCGACTCCGTCGACGAGGGCGCTGAGGTTGAGCCACCATCCAAGAAGGACACACAGAAGGGCAACTTCTACAAGCTCTGGGGCAAGGTCTTCGAGGCCGAGGGACGCTTCTCAAACAAGCAGCCCGTCCCCAAGCTGGGTAACGCCAACAGCACCAAGGAGGAGGTCGAGCACTTCTACAACTTCTGGTACAACTTCGACAGCTGGAGGACCTTTGAGTACCTTGACGAGGACGTGCCCGATGACAACGAGAACCGTGACCAGAAGCGTCACGTCGAACGCAAGAACCAGAACGCGCGCCGCAAGAAGAAGACCGAGGACACCACTCGTCTGAGGCACATGGTCGACGATTGTCTGGCGCTTGACGAGCGTATCAAGAAGTTCCGCCAAGCCGAGAACGCACAGAAGAACAAGCGCCGTCTCGAAAAGGAGGCTGCCGAGAAGGCCGCAAAGGAGGAGGCCGAGAAGAAGAAGGCCGAGGAGGCTGCAGCTGCAGCTGAGAAGGAGGCTGCCGAAAAGGCCGCAAAGGCCGACAACAAGAAGGCCAAGGAGGCAGCGAAGAACGCGGCAAAGAAGAACAAGCGTGTTGTGCGTGGTGCCGTTAAGGACGCCAACTACTTCCACGGCGCCGGCGATGCGCCCGCTTCCCAGGTCGATGCCGCTCTCAACGACGTCGATCTCATCATCGTAAAGCAGGACAACGAGGAGCTGGCTGCATTGACCAGCAAGCTCAACGGTGTCAAGGATGCCGGTAAGATCAAGGAGATCTTCCAGGAGGAGGCCCAGCGTCTCATTGGCGCTGCAAAGCTTACGCAGGGCGAGCTCAAGGCTCTGGCTTGAAAAGCGGCTCACGCTGCACCCACTTCTTGATAGACGTTGTTTAGACTTGGACGGAACGGGAATAATGATATGCATGATTCCATTTGTGACAAACCCTCTTATCTTTCATCTCAAACTCGACTCGAATTCGCAGCCAGCATTACAGCAACTCCCAGATTGTTCACCCATCTGATGTCATGCCTTCACATGTGTCAAATGCATCCAGCGGGCGTTTCCGCGGCGGTCGGTACCAGGGTCTAAAGATGATGGCGTGGATGCGGATCGCGCGACACACCACCAAGAAGCCAAGCGCTGCCGTCACCCGGAACAGGCAGTGCATTAACGACACCCAAAGTTTGGCTTGAGCCGACATTCCTCTCTCACGACCACTGCGACAACTACCACTGCAATTCCCTTCGCCATCGTTAATCGCCCATTTACCCCGCGAGCACTATTTCCCCGCGCCAAGGACCCCTACACGACGCACAGCAGCACCGATCGCCTGCGCCAGCCCACGCAGCCAGCAGGTTTCTCGCGGTCGGACCTCACTGGCACTGCGCTCGCCTGATTGGATTTGGCCGACGACCTCGTGCCCGCAATCTCACTCCGACATCACTATGAGCGCGTCCCCCACGTCCAGAGACGGCCGACATGCGTCTCCAGCGCCGCGAAAGTCCTCGGGGCCTTACAAGGTCAGCCCGCTGCAGCTCCCCACGGGCGGACACCTCGCGCAGGATGAGGTACGGCGGCCGTCGATACAGTTTCTGGCGCACAGAAATCAGTCGCTACCCAGAGGTCAACCCAGGCCCCGTGAACGACGCCGGTTGTCGTCACCGCCGCCTCCACCGTAAGTACTGATTTGCTCCTGCCTCATGCACCCCGGGTATATCTACGCTTTGCGCTGCTTTGCGCCCGTCTTCCTCTTTCCATGTATTCATGGCGCACAAATGGCGAAGTATGCTTCCAGCGTGCCGGAGCTCAGATGGGCACTTAACTCCATATCTTGCGAATACCTTGCAAGGCCCTTGGACTGACACTTCACTCAGCGTATTCCAACCTCGGGTGTCTTTTGACACCTTCGACAAGCCCGCAGACTTCATCGAAGAGAGCTCATTCACACTCATCGCCAAGCACAAGGACTACGAATACACAAAGCGTTCGCGGACGTTCCTCTGCGGTTTCGACGAGAACGAGTACTCAGTATACGCCCTACAATGGCTCATCAACGAGCTAGTCGACGATGGAGATGAAATAGTATGTCTCAGAGTGGTCGAGAAGGAGGATGCAATAGCAGGAGACCGCAGCGTAGAGACTGGTCGGTATCGTGTGGAGGCTGATAACACCATGGCCGACATACAAAGTCGAAATCATGACAACAAGGCGATCAATCTGATATTGGAGTTTTCCATCGGTAAGGTTAACAAAGTTATCGACGACATGGTTAGTCTTCCGCGGTCGCGTAGCTTGTTTCACATCTAACGACAGACAGATCAATCTGTACGAACCAGCAATCCTGGTAGTCGGGACGCGGGGCAAGAGCTTGGGCGGATTCCAGGGACTGCTTCCTGGCAGTGTGTCGAAATACTGTCTACAACATTCGCCAGTACCTGTCATTGTCGTACGCCCCACATCGAAACGCGACAAGGCGAAGAGCAAGCGCACCAACGACCCAGACCGCCAGGGTTACAGAGAGATTCTAGCGAAGAGCGAAAGCCTTCCTGAATTTAACAGCCCTCGTAACAGCTTCTTCGCAAATGAAGACGAAGCAGCGATAGTGGGAGGGGCAGCGACAGCCCCCAAACCAGCCGTAGAGGCGCATCCTCTAGCACAAGTGGAACAAGCGCCAGACAGCAGCGAGGACGAGGAAGACACTCGCACCACCACTGTGGTCAATGACCTGGTCAATGATGATCCACGAAGCCCCGGCCCGATGATGAAGAGCCCGCATCTACAAAATCTGAGCAGTCCAGAGCTTAGTAGCCAGTCTGGTAGCGACGACGAAGATGGAGACGGCGGAGTCTCAACTTCGGGAACTTCGGCAGTAGAGAAAGCATCGATTGCAACGGGGCAGACAAGTGTTGGCGAGGGAGACGCAGGCGGTGGGAATGCGTCAATGTCGTACATGGACAGTCTCACAAGTGGAGCGAAGGAGTCGAAGGACTCGAATGAATCACAGGGCGCATAGTGGAAGCATCAATCGAGGATGGGTGTGCGAAGGGAGGTAGTGTGAGTCTCGAGGAAGATATGTCGTTTGGCCATACTAATCATGGACCGCGTCATGAAGGTTGGCGAAGGAGACATGAGCGGTGGAAACCGTCGGTATCGTACACGAATAGACACGGGTGCAACTCAGACAAGCCCCAAAGACACACCCGCACATTTTGGCGCACAGGGAAATGGGGGCGCATAGTCTTAGCATTCAATACCCAATATATCTCGTCTCTCACATCAGCCTCAAAGATAGCAGCTTGTGGTGTTTCATGTGCTCCTGCCCGACCCCGGTATGATCGACGCGATGACGTTTCGTGTGGCTTGACGCCGCGACATGCATGCGCGTTCCCGGCCCCAGTCCCTCATTGACTGATTGCCTCACTTGCGTAACCTTCCACATCCCCCCAAGACCTCCATGTGTCAACGTATCCATACCGCGCCGCGTAATCAATGGGTATCCGCACCTCGCCCATAACCAGGACAAACTGGCAATAGCCACCAGCCACACATTAGCTGCCGAATAACAAGACCGCCTATCCGATGATCCCGACTCTGCAAGACGACTGCGATGAGTGCATGCCGGACTATGCGCTGCACCGCAGCCCGATGACGGTTGCGATATCGGCGCTTCCCTTTATTGTCACTTTCCTCGTTGCTTCTGTGGCGGCGCAAAAGCTGTTTCCTATCTTGTCTGGGAATGCGGATCGCAAAGCGCACCATGACGGCGCGCGACTGCCTGGGGCACCACAGCGCGAACGCCCCTCCATACTGAGTAGCCTACGCCCGAGTGCGCGCTCACTCGCCAGCATTCTCTTCTCGACCAACTTCGCCCTTTCCGCCGTACTCGCTGAACTCATCCTCTGCGAAATCTCCAATACCGTCAATCGCGCCACACGAACGTTAGCGCTCAAGATCACGCTACCTTCCCTGCTCTTCCTGCTTGTCGTCGCGACACCGGCGATTGAGATTCACTCGATCATATCGGGTACTGGGCTGAACATTGGTGGGGAGCAGAAGAGTCGGCGACGAGCAGCATGGGTGTTGGAGCTGTGTGGGCTGGCGACATGGCTGGCGGGGTTTTGGTATCTTGGTCGAGGGCTGCTGGGCTCGTATCTGCATGAGGAATCCTATGAGCATGATCATACTTTCAGCGAAGGCTGTTTGGAGAGGATAGGCATAATTGGTATTAGCTTGATGGCTTCGCTAGCTGGGTTTGCTGCTATATCCGCGCTTTGGCATACATTTGGCGTTAAGTATCGTCCGGTAAGCTCATCGTCTCCCAGGGATATGAGTATTTGCCAGGTATACTAATTCTTCCTAGGTCACCGAATCAGACATCGGTCGCAAGCAGGCTGGCATACAGGCTACGAACGACATGCTCCTGACGAAGGAGAGTCGACTCCGAGCGGTCGAACGAAAACTTGCGGACAATCCCCAACAAGGTTTCATGGGCCGCGTAGTAGGATCGATTCGTGGCAATCCCGACATTCAAGAGCGCAACACTCTACAACTCGAAATACAAGGCCTCGAGACTATGCGCCACACACTCCAGAACTCCCTAACAGTTCTCCAAAACCGTCGGCAGAACCAACTGCGATCGCATACCGCAAACGGGAGGCTGTTCAACATCGTCTCATACGTCTTCGCCGTATATTGCGCATACCGCATCATCGCCACCACAGTCACAACACTCCGCCGCTTCTCATCACCAAATGCGAGCTTCGCAAGCAGCGACCCCATTAACAATGTCCTCGCCCTACTAGCCAAACACTGGGACCCAACCATCGACCGCGTAGCCTGGAGCCGCACAATCTCCTTCCTCCTCTCCGGCGTCATGCTCCTCCTCTCCTTCAACAGCGTCCTCCAAACCTTCTACCTCTTCGCCCGCGTCGTCCCCGGTCTCCTGCATCACGCACGCACAAACTTCGCGCTTATCATCTCGCAGATCGCAGCGACTTACGTTATCAGCTCTGCGTTGCTTCTTCGGAGTAACCTGCCGCCTGAGATGAAGAGCAAGATTGGGGATGCGTTGGGTGCACCGCTTGAACCGGGGTTTACGGAGAGGTGGTTTGAGGGCTGGTTCTTGGCGGCGAGTGCGGCGACGGTGTTGGGGCTTTGGGCGGGGAAGAGGTTGAAGGGTGGGGAGTGGGATGATGATTGTGAGGGGGGGGAGGGGGATGTTGAGATGGGGAAGAGGAGTACGTAGATGGATGTAGGAGTATGTTATGTATGCATTGATCGTCGTCATCATGGATCTGTTGTGAGAATGCGTCGCCGCCTACAGTTGGCACACCATGTCGGTCAACTTTCTTACATGAATGATTTTAAAGAGACCGCTTAGGTACCGAATCCGTTTTCCCATCAGCAATAAAAGGTCCGATAACAATTCCCATACAAAACCTGCATCTATCACCCACATCTTCGGCGCGTCCACCGATATCTGCAGACCACCTCGGCGAATACCATCACCACCCAGCATCACAGAGTGGCAGCGCCCAACGAGTTGAGTGATAGATAGCCACCGGGTATCGCTGCATAAACGCCAAATGAGCTCGTTAGCATGAGCAAGCCGCCCGCCCGCGCTTGCTAAGCATGCATCACCTCTGGACCCGCAATAACGCGCCATGCGCGACGAGCCGTTTGATTGAAGGTTGACGTCGATGTTGCCCGATGCAGGCGCGTTCGCGTTGTGACGTCAGGTTTGGTGGGGCAAGGTGGTTCGCCCATGAAAACACATAGAGGGGGCCTTTCTCGAGACATCTTCGTACACACCACTTCTCACAAGCTCTATTCTACAGGTATGTTTGATGCGTGAGAGAGGGTTTGATGGGGCGTTGGCTAATTGACGAACAGACTACTAAGAAACCTACAAACCTGTACGTTGTACCTGAGCTGGTGATGGGAGAAGGAGCTGGCGATGCGAGCTTCACGGCAGCGAGCGAGCACTCACCCAGCCATCGCACCACCTCCCTCCCTACCCATCCACTCCCCCAACATCCTCCCGCTCCTCACTAACACACCCACCAGACTCCCAACCAACCCCACACACAACCCCCCAAACCACAACCATGTCCGCCCCCAACGCCGGCCGTCAGTCCCCCGAGCCCGAGCGCCAATCCGGAGCGCAAGCCGGCCAGACCTCCGACAACGTCAACAGCCAAGGCGCAGGACCCAAGGAGGGCGCTGAGAAGGCGAGCGACAACACCAAGGACAGCCTGAGCAGCAACCCCCAGCACACTCTTGAGAAGCATGCTGAGGAGACTACGAGCAAGAAGGTTTAGATGAGGATGGGGATGATGATGATGGTATGAGAGGATGAATGGATGGATGACTGATGGGGATGAACGGATGTAAGACCTATGAAATACTGAGGCAGTCTGGGGATGGAATGAAATGAGATGAATACATGAATGATTATTGTCATGACATGAAGTGTTTGGATGTATCTGTGACCATGTCTCCACTCTGATGCGTGAGTGATGTCTGTCAAATGGACTCTTCGTAGCAAAGATGTAGATTCGCTGCATTTCTCAAAGCCCGCTTGCTTCTCAAACGCGCTGTTTCTTGTGTTCATTTCCGAATAGGTTGCAGAACCTCGGAGTCGACATCTCCATCATTTTGTTCATACAACGTATTCATCTTTGGAGTTGCTGACTTCACGTACTCTTCTAAAGAACTCTTGTGATGATTATCGTGAGTGAAGCCTCCACGTTCCGCAGCCATTCGTCGCCAAATGCCCCGCCATACTAGCCTCACCAACCGCCGTTCTCGTGATGCGACCCCGCCGACGAATCACGACATCCTACATTCCACGCTTCAAGCCGTCTCGCCGATACCATCACGCTTCTGCATCACCTTCCGCCGCAATACCCAAGATCTGATATCATAAATTCCAACATTTCGCCATCAGCACACAAACTCGGGCGCTTGGGTAAGCTTCACCGCACAACCATTCCGCCTCTACAGTTTAAACTAACAACCCTCAGTCTAGGGGTATGATTTGTAAGACAACACCAACAAACATCAAGATGTTTGGGATGTGAGACTAACATCATCAAAGTCGCTTCGCATTATCAAATGTGCGTACTTGTGAAAGGTCGTGGGTTCAATTCCCACAGCGTCCAGTACCTTCTTTTTTGCACTTTTTTTGAGGCTCAAGGGATAGGGTGTGGAGAGGAAGAGAAGCAAGAAGAGAAATAGTAAGTAGGAAGGTGCACAATGAGAGATGTCGCTGTTCACGCTTCGACTTCTTGGTTCATTTTTGCTGTTCCGCAACGACTTTAGCAACGTTGCCTTTAGAAAAGCAAGTACTCTTGCACATCGCACTAGCCAGACTTTTTCTAATTCGCGCTCACATACATTCTAATATCGTGATAGCTCTCTCACATACAAGGAGACGCCAGCCTCAAAATAGGTAATCTTCTTTCAACCCCAGGCACCGAAGAAAACATTCCACCCGCGAGAAACCCACTCTTCGGAAGTAACACCCATGGAATCCCAACTGGATACACCCCAAGATCCCGACGGCGACGGCGAGCGGTCGCGCAATGTGTTGTTACACGGCGAGGCATGGTTTGGCATGCTAACAGATGGAGAATCCAAACGCAGTGTCTCTACAAGGTGGGGAAAACGACTTTGCAACCAAGAATCAAGTTCCGTATAGAGAGATTGGCCGAGAGAGTTCTGCAACTCGCGTACCACCAGGTTTACCCACAGAAAGATACCTTCAGCGCGTTTCGCAATGACCGTGCCAATTTGTTCCATGAGATGAGTTGACTTCTGGCGAACAAGGAACAATAGACCATCATTGCGGCTGGAATGATCGAGCAAGCTGTCGGTCATCGAAGTGTTCGCTGGCGGCGAGAGTACTTGTATGTCCTCAGGAAGACTGTGCTTAAGGCCTCGTGGAAGTCAGCCGAATGTCTTAGTATTCGTCAATGATCATACCTCCGTGTTCACGATAGCCACTCCTCGCAAACTCCCGATCGAGTTTCTCCTTCGACTGCTCAACACCGTTGATCAAGACAATACTTTCCTTTCCCTGGCGACGCCTCTCTTCTACCACACGATTGATGAGATGCCATTCGTCTCTTGTGCGGTTCTTCCGTATTCCCCATGTCTTCAGTTGGCGCTCGTATTGCGATTCGCTCGAGGCGCATTAGCTTAGTTTTGTATAGTGCAGTGCGTAATACTTCAGCTACTAACCTTGCATAGAGGCCATATATTTTCATGATCTCAGCGACCTTGCTCAGGGTTTTGCCTTGGTCTACGAACAACATCTTGATCCTGCATCGGTGTTGCTCCCACGTACTGGGAGACATCCGGGGCGCATAGGATTTGGCGTCTCTAGGCATTGTAAGAAGACGACCAGGACAGGATTGGAATGAACAGCTCAAAAGGATTTGACCGAAACACTGAAGGGAGAAGGCTACATCTGGGAGGCTATATACATTTCAGCGTTCCTTCGCACCAACCAATCAAACAAAACCTTGAATGCATCACGACGCAGACGATACCGCTTCGAGAGCCTGCATATCATCCACCAATCAGCAAAACCTGGAATTCGCAGTGGACTCGCGAGATTATGCAGGGGTCAGCAGCACACCCATCGCCGGTGAAGACTCGACGAGGCGGTGCAAGCAACCCGCGGCACAACCACCAATCGGACAAAACCTGGAGTTAAAAGCCCCATCAACTGGGCGATTGACAGGCGCATTGTAAAGTGGTGTCAGTGTGCAGAGCCAGATTCGGAGTTGGCTTTGCATGCGCGATCGTTCCAAGTTGTTAGAAAGCGTTCACGTGGGGTAACGACGTAGCAGCCGAGACGAGCAGCCGCCTGGCAAGGCTGCCCGCCTCATGCATGATCACGTGGGCTTATGGAAAGCGTTCTCATCCGGACAGATTCATTACACCGTCACCTGACTTTATTTTGCATGTACGCCAAAAGATACAAGTATAGACGGTCACGTGTAGTCCCATCGTAAGGAAGGACGAACCCACAATGTGTGGCTATCCTACTAGGGTAGGGATGTCAACATTAGCTAGCGCGACGCGGGGCCTAGGTAGTCTGCAGGGGCCAAGCCTCCATGAACTCTTCCGACCGCATGATTGGGAGTTACATGCTCGCTCAAGCCAATAGATAGAGATATCCTCACCGATTGTCACCTTCGCGCACCAGCGGCTGTGCCAGAGCGGATGCATATGCACAATCATATGGCGCTACAGTTCACAACCCTCGAGCCTCTTGACTGGTTCTTTCCCGCTTCGTCCCTCCTTCGTAGTACTTGTCACAACACTGCTCTCTCACTACTGGTTCGCTAAACGATCCTCCTCCGACCGCCTGCCACGATTCCCCCACCCCACGCGAACGGTACCCATCAACGCTCTTTCGAGCCCGCCAACCCTTCGCATGGTGGCCAATGACAGGTGGTTACTCGTGCGAAACTCGTGTAGAGTTACCCAAGAAATAAGCGTAGCTCTTTGCGGAATGATCGTAAGCTGATACTAGCAGCCTCCACCTCCACCACCTGGGTAGGCTGTACACGCCGACGCACCAGAAATCAATATATGGTGCCTAGGTAGAGACGTAAAACATGGAACTTTCATCTCGAGATCTCCTCGATCACACTTGATCAGTATCTCTTCAAAATACCAAGATCCATACACAATTACTTCCATTCTTTGTAACACACGACTAGAAGTACTCGCCGGTGTCTATTGTGCAGAGCAAACGGAGACCGACATGTCTGCCATATCCAACGAATCTATCATCGCTATCGTCAGTCTGGTCGCAACATGTCCGCCTTCCGTAGTTCTCATCTGGCACCTGCTTCGGCGTAAGAATCGTGTTCAAAGAAACTTCAACGGTTCGTTGATATGTGTCAAAAACCACAACACATCGCTGACATCTGACTAGATGATGAGCTCTTCCTTTCAGCCATCGATCGTAAGATCATAAAGCACGTCGACGATAGTTTACTCAAACCTACCCCTACCTACCTCTCTCGAGGACAACAACCAATCACCTCGCCGACTCAAGAACGATCACACATATCTCTTCCACAACCTAAAGGCAAAGCCGATTTCTCTTTCGCAACGTGCTAGAGACCATCAAAAGCCTGGCGAACAGTAGGGAGAGCATCTTGAAGAATAAAGCGCAGTCGGAGGGGTCTTAGCTAAGAAAAAGATATTGTTGACGATGAGAGATAGGAAGAGTGACTTATGATAGAGAAACATAATGACGATGCCATCAGGCTACCCACAACATGTTCTTCTCTCCATGAGCCTTTTGATCCAGAGTATGATGCTTGTAGACCATGATCAGGCGAATTTTGCGATGATGACTGGTCAATCCTCAGATGGGAAGTGCTGAGGACCATGCGATTCCGTCACACGCGTGCGCCGGACGCAATGACCCATTGCGTTGCGCATGTCAATCCATGATCGAACTGCACGTAATCAGCGTTAAGCAAAGTGCATGAGACTATTGACGATGGAAAGCCGTCCAGGGTTGTCGCGATGGGATCGTAGAGTTGAGAGGATAGGTGTCGCGGTCGTGGCGTGCCCGTCGACAAGCAACTGGCGCCGGGCGGGCCGCTTCGGTGCTCATTGCCCCACTTAGCGACCAGCTCGATCTCTCATTCATACTGCTGCTCGATCAACCTTCGAGTGCCCGTTCGACTGATATAATTTCCCGCTACCAACGCCATAACTGGAGTGTTGAGTCCCACCATTATAGCCTTACGATATGCGCGAAGCGAAGTGCTCGCGCGCCTGAACGGCTGCATGTGGTCTGTCACACGCTGGACGCTACCCCACCGTCAGTGGCGTGCGCTAATCCTGCCACAACATTCTTTTCCACGATCGCGAGATTTATCCAAAAGCGAGTCACACTGGTCATTGGTACTTGCACACGTGGGTATTAACAAGCGGTATTGCGTCTGATAATCAACGGTGGGGTGGCGGGCGACGCTTCTTCCCGGGGCGCTGATGGGGGCGTAAGCTGCTAACGCCTCTGGCCCGCGCACGTCCACACACACCTCGTCTTGCGTAGTGATTCGAGTTGGAAGGCTGCATAAATTTCGAGACGCACTGGTATTTCGGTTTGAAGTTGCAAGCATGGTCGCATGGAATTACTAACTTTATGGGTTGGATCGAAATCAGTTGCATAGACGAACCTGCGTCGCTCACCGCGATACATCTGTCTCAGATAACAGGAATACAGATCATAATTGACGTGATGATACATGTCCAAAAACATAGGCTTCACATCTGCGCCGGCCTGCTTTGGGAAGGCAAGTCTACGTAAACGGGCCAGGCATGCAATTTTGCAGCTCATCAACGCCCTTATGGATCTATGCTGTGACGCTGTCTTCAGAGAGGATAAAGTGCGCCTTTGACTCAGGCTGCGGTCTGGTTCTAGGTTGGGCTTGGATCCACTGATATTTGCGTCGAAGAATTCGACTCTTTTGGATGCGACATGCAATGACGCAGGGCAGTGCAAACCCCCATACTCGCTTTCTCGGACACTAAATGTCCATTCTGCCGGGATGAAGGAAAGTGGACTGTACGAGAAGCAAAGCTTGGCTGGGCTCTGGTGGCGTCAACGAAGAGTAGATATTGGTCAGGTAACGACGGGTAATTTCTTGGCCACGCATAGCGCCTTGGTCTACTTGGAATGGCGTCAAAAGGTAAACGTTTGTCCTTGCATGGAAGGGAACATCTATGAAGCGGACCACTAACATAAAAACTTTAGGAATCATGGCTCGAGAGCTGACACACGCCATAGCCCGACCGGCCTACATCTATAACATGCTCTCTCACCGTCTTCCACAAGCTCTTTCACAGACTACACCAAGCAAACCCAACTGCATACAGACAGGCATTATTTCCGCGTGTCAACTGTATTGATCCAAGACCTCTTAGTACAACGTATACTCGACTCCCCACGTCCTCTCGCAAAGTTTAACGTACACCTACCTACACTCACACAATCATTCCCTATTCAACATCCAATCTGCAATCACCGCCGGTAGCTAGTCGGACCAATCAAGTACCATGACTTCCCTGTCCAATGAGACCATAGTCGGTATTCTCACCCTTGTCGCTACTGGTCCGGCTTCTGTTCTGTACATGTGGCAGTGGCTTGTGGGCCGCTCTAGGTCTCCGTCCAACGATATTGGTATGTCTGTCTTGTCTGTGAATACATGGTATTCTTTCCACTAATCGTTTTTTTAGACATCGAGCTTGCCAATCGTCTGACTGAGCTATCTATAAGCGATCTCGTCGACGATCATGTCGCCGTTCTGGTGCCTCAGCCTGATTCAGTCTTCCCACACAATGTTCATAACCCATCGATGGAGCAAGACCAAGAAGGAAGGGTTGGTGAGTGCTTGTTCCAAATCTCTCTGCTTTGGTCTAACGCATGCGTGCAGGGCCCATCGCAAAGCATGACAGGACTTCAATAGTAGTCGACTATCGCCATGCTGTTCAGCAGGCTGAATCGCATACAGCGGACAATGATAGACGGGCAGAAATGGCTGAGTAGTTTGCCTCTCTTCTGTCAGATACCCTGACGCGACGATGCATACTTATTATAGAGCGATTGGAACGTGCATCGCGGGCTTGTACTTTTACCGGGCCGGCTCAAAACCTTTTTGATCTCTGTGCTGGTGGATGGTCTCTTCACGCTTCGAGGGCCTCATGGGTGCGTTCAAGGCCTTCTTCTTTCGACGGCCTCTCTGTATATTGGACCTGTTGCAACGCTATTGAGTGACAGTTCATGTGCTAGACTAGAGTTACCTGATCTTAAATTTACATTAGATACAACCTCTTGTTGATTCACCCATTGGAACCGCTTAGGACAGTGCGATCATGTCACATGCGGCGGCGGCGGCAGTGCATGTCGCATGCCGTACATCAGTCCGTAACAAGGGTGCACATGTTAACAGCGAGTTAATTTATATAACGAAGTCGCGATTTGGAAGCCGTTCAGCGTTTTCGTGATGGTAGGGTACGCATCTCAATACTTCAGGCAAGATGGGCTGGGAGCTTATACACGCGTTAGACTGCTCAGCAAACGTCTATAACATGCCAGCCCGCCGTCTTCTGTGATTTTCTCCAGCCGGCAGGCCGTATCTCAAGCAGCTTATACAAAGGCGGCAATCTCGTGCGTCAATCCTATCTATCCACGTCTTCCGACCACAACTTCTATCTCGATCCTCACATCCTCACTCGTGTAACAGAACATGTCGTGCCTGTCCAACGGGGACATAATCGC